TCAGTTTTCACTATTTTTCCCCTGTTATGGTAAGGGTGGCACATTTGTCCAGTCCAAACTCTATTGCAATATCTTGGCTGCATATTTGGATAGTGTTGAGCAGTGATTCCATTTCAGATGATGTTTTTCCATACAGCTTCAGATCATCCATATAAAGGAGGTTGCCAGATGTTTTTGATGTTTGATAGCCATGGCCTGACTTGTTCAGTATTGTTCACAGAGGAATCAGTGCAATGTCCCATGCCTTAGTGATTCCATTTCAGATGATGTTTTTCCATACAGCTTCAGATCATCCATATAAAGGAGGTTGCCAGATGTTTTTGATGTTTGATAGCCATGGCCTGACTTGTTCAGTATTGTTCACAGAGGAATCAGTGCAATGTCCCATGCCTTTTTTTGGCCAGTCCTCCAAGCCCAGACAACCTGGGAGAGGAATGGCTGGCTTGATGTTGAAATTTTAAGTGGAGGAAGTGCAGACTTATAATGGGTTGAACCAACCTTCCTTCCATAACTTGATATTCTCCAGATCTGTGGGGTTTCAACTTCCAGAATTCCTAGCCAACATAATGAAAATATACTGAGAATTGCACATAACTAGAAAGCACAAGGTTGGAGCAAGCTACATGAGATCCTGCTAGGGTTGTATTTGTACAACATGCTAAGCTGTGGTTTAACTGTGGCTTATGTAAATTAGTTGGCTTGCACAGCATATTAAGTGAAAACAGACCATGTAGTGGCTTAGCTTGTGTGATCTCTCCCTAGATGATATGGAAAAAAATAGGATTCATACATCATGGTAAACCAAAATGTGATTTGTTTAGATTGAATTTACAGTAGTGTATTACATGAATCACTCTCATTTGTAAAACATTATTTTTGCTTAGTTATAGTTATGTGTAACAGTTTTGAGACTGAGGGCTGCATCTGGCTTTTGAGTGGTCTAGGGTTGCAGTCTAAGATGTAAGCTAGGGTACAATACTAAAAGATTAAAAAATTGTCAATTAAGAAAAAATAATTAACTATAATATAGTTGAGAGCCAGTTAGCTGTAGTGGTAGGCAGTGGCTTAGACACCAGGAAACTCTGAGTTCTATTCCTGCCTTGGACACGAAGTCAGCTGGTTGACCTTGGGCCAGTCACTCTCTCTGAGCCCCAGGAAGAGGGAGACAAGGGCAAGCCACTTCCAAAAATCTTCCCAAGAAAACTGGATTTATCTGTGTAGTCACCAGGAGTCAAGATTGACTTGAAGACACAGAAAAAAATGGCTATAATTTACATATTTAATCATCTTCCCTTCTATTAACAATAACAGTTACAATTTGATGTCAACTTTGGAGGGGCTGCTTGGTTGCCCCCAAAACTTTGGAGGGCATAATATTGTCCTGGGGGCCTCATAATGTACACCCCAGTTTATTTTTAAAAGATCATAGTTAATATTTGAATATATTGTGATTCCTATATTTTTAACTCTAATCTTGTGACAGAACTAAATGAGGCTTGCAGTCACAGTGAGTCTGTAGGAGTCAAGACATTTTCTGCTGTTTAGCTTGTTTGCAAAATGATTCATCAGCACTTCTGATCACATGCCTGGCAGATAACAGGACATGTCTGGGATATGTAAGAAGCGATGGAAATTTGTTTGAAAGTTTTGTCAGGTTTATAATATTCAACACCACACTTTTCCTCTATGGCACACCCCTCACCTTTTATGAAGCCTGGCATTTTCATCATCTCTGCAACTCTTATCATCAGAGTCTTGGGGGTTTTTATGTTTGCCTGCTTTATTATTTAGGCATTCCACTGCCATGAGTATTTTCTATTTTTCTTTTCATTTGTGACTTCTGAGCATGCTCAGTTCTCACAGGGATTTTTTTTCCTTGGGGCTTCTGGAGGAAGAAATGGCAGACTGAAAAGTAGAGCCAACAATTGCGACGAAGAACTAGTGAGTAGACTGGCTTTTTGGAACTTCTCCAGACAAGTAGAGGACAGGAAATTGACCACATGCACTCTGAACAATTGTTCCTCATGAGGAGAGTGCAAGACAGCTGTCCCTGCCTATTTTAAGCATTGGGAGACGATGGGAATAGCCATCTTGATTGCAACCACAGTTGGCCCCTTTTAAAAAACACTAAGTTTGCAAACTTCCTTTTCTAATCACATTTTGAAATTGCTTGTTAACTACTTTTAAGATTAATATCCTAAAACCTAAATATACTCAAGCCTCATTAACAGCTAATTAATTGGGACGTATAAAATGATGCAAAATATTTTTACATTGAAAATACTGAAGGACACTTTTGAAAAATGGAATCAGAAGTTAGTATCAACAGTGTCAATAGTGATGTTTGCTTCTATGGATAGACTGCATCCAAAAAATGCTATGGAAGAACTGGCAGATGAGGAACAGTTTTATTCGACAAGACAGAGATGGCATTGAAAGTGGATCTACAAATAGCAAACTACAAGAATGACATGGAAAAAGATGTTACATTGGACATTCAGAAGAAACCAGTTAATGTTTTAAAATCAAAAGGAAATACAAATAATAAACCAAGAGAGTGACCTGGATGCTGGATTTACAAAAGAGGCTTGTTAAAGTTTTGAAGAATTTTGTGAGAAGGGACAAAGAAGAAATGAATGGACTGACGATTAAGACTGTTAGAAGTAAAAGGAAGGAATATAAAGTTGATTTATTTGATCAGAGTTAAAATAAGATATGTTGTTATATCTGGCTATCTTTTTTAGATTTTCTGCTGACACTAGGACTGGAAAGATGATACTTTATGGATTTGTCTATAGATAAGAGGGAATATGGAATGAAGAGATCATTGGTTGTAAACTAAGAGAGGGTGAAGAGTCACAAAAATGTTTATACTTGTGATGAAAGTTGGAAGTAACTTCTTTGTATATTTCTTTTCTTTTTCTTTACTATATTCTTTCTTTTTTCTTCCTATTTTCTATGGTTTTTTCCTTCTCCTTTGCACCTTTCACTCTTTCTTTCTATTCTTTCTTTCTTTTAGTTTGTATTAGATTTTATTATTGTAATTAAAATCCTGAATAAAAATTATTTATTACAATAAAAATTATATATGACGGGATTTTTTCTTCTTCTTCTCCTTTTGGCCAAGTTGTTATTCTCTCACACATTTTTTGTGAAGTTGTTGCCTAAATTTCAGGTTCTCACAACTAACCTTCCTCTTGGTGTTCAGTATTTCTGCTTCAGTTCCGTTTCCCAATTTTTACTCATTTAAGGAAGTTATAAAAGCTCAACGTATTGTCGAAGGCTTTCACGGCTGGAATACGATGGCTGCTGTGGGTCTTCAGGGCTGTGTGGCCGTGTTCTGGAAGTTTTGTTTCCTAACGTTTTGCCAGCATCTGTGACCGGCATCTTCTGAGGGGCGGAGG